GCCTCCACATTGTGGAAACTCACTTGTAGTGTATAAATGGAACTAGATGGACCCATACTTACCCAAACATGGATTCATAGGTTCTCCACATTACTATGAGGACAAACATGAGTGAAACGGTCTCAATCCAAGGGAGGAACATCAAATGGACCAAATTTGGGAACCGGAAGAGGTAAGGAGTCCGAAATGTACCTCTGTGCCTCCACATTGTGGAAACTCACTTGTAGTGTATAAATGGAACTAGATGGACCCATACTTACCCAAACATGGATTCATAGGTTCTCCACATTACTATGAGGACAAACATGAGTGAAACGGTCTCAATCCAAGGGAGGAACATCAAATGGACCAAATTTGGGAACCGGAAGAGGTAAGGAGTCCGAAATGTACCTCTGTGCCTCCACATTGTGGAAACTCACTTGTAGTGTATAAATGGAACTAGATGGACCCATACTTACCCAAACATGGATTCATAGGTTCTCCACATTACTATGAGGACAAACATGAGTGAAACGGTCTCAATCCAAGGGAGGAACATCAAATGGACCAAATTTGGGAACCGGAAGAGGTAAGGAGTCCGAAATGTACCTCTGTGCCTCCACATTGTGGAAACTCACTTGTAGTGTATAAATGGAACTAGATGGACCCATACTTACCCAAACATGGATTCATAGGTTCTCCACATTACTATGAGGACAAACATGAGTGAAACGGTCTCAATCCAAGGGAGGAACATCAAATGGACCAAATTTGGGAACCGGAAGAGGTAAGGAGTCCGAAATGTACCTCTGTGCCTCCACATTGTGGAAACTCACTTGTAGTGTATAAATGGAACTAGATGGACCCATACTTACCCAAACATGGATTCATAGGTTTCCACATTACTATGAGGACAAACATGAGTGAAACGGTCTCAATCCAAGGGAGGAACATCAAATGGACCAAATTTGGGAACCGGAAGAGGTAAGGAGTCCGAAATGTACCTCTGTGCCTCCACATTGTGGAAACTCACTTGTAGTGTATAAATGGAACTAGATGGACCCATACTTACCCAAACATGGATTCATAGGTTCTCCACATTACTATGAGGACAAACATGAGTGAAACGGTCTCAATCCAAGGGAGGAACATCAAATGGACCAAATTTGGGAACCGGAAGAGGTAAGGAGTCCGAAATGTACCTCTGTGCCTCCACATTGTAGGAAACTCACTTGTAGTGTATAAATGGAACTAGATGGACCCATACTTACCCAAACATGGATTCATAGGTTCTCCACATTACTATGAGGACAAACATGAGTGAAACGGTCTCAATCCAAGGGAGGAACATCAAATGGACCAAATTTGGGAACCGGAAGAGGTAAGGAGTCCGAAATGTACCTCTGTGCCTCCACATTGTGGAAACTCACTTGTAGTGTATAAATGGAACTAGATGGACCCATACTTACCCAAACATGGATTCATAGGTTCTCCACATTACTATGAGGACAAACATGAGTGAAACGGTCTCAATCCAAGGGAGGAACATCAAATGGACCAAATTTGGGAACCGGAAGAGGTAAGGAGTCCGAAATGTACCTCTGTGCCTCCACATTGTGGAAACTCACTTGTAGTGTATAAATGGAACTAGATGGACCCATACTTACCCAAACATGGATTCATAGGTTCTCCACATTACTATGAGGACAAACATGAGTGAAACGGTCTCAATCCAAGGGAGGAACATCAAATGGACCAAATTTGGGAACCGGAAGAGGTAAGGAGTCCGAAATGTACCTCTGTGCCTCCACATTGTGGAAACTCACTTGTAGTGTATAAATGGAACTAGATGGACCCATACTTACCCAAACATGGATTCATAGGTTCTCCACATTACTATGAGGACAAACATGAGTGAAACGGTCTCAATCCAAGGGAGGAACATCAAATGGACCAAATTTGGGAACCGGAAGAGGTAAGGAGTCCGAAATGTACCTCTGTGCCTCCACATTGTGGAAACTCACTTGTAGTGTATAAATGGAACTAGATGGACCCATACTTACCCAAACATGGATTCATAGGTTCTCCACATTACTATGAGGACAAACATGAGTGAAACGGTCTCAATCCAAGGGAGGAACATCAAATGGACCAAATTTGGGAACCGGAAGAGGTAAGGAGTCCGAAATGTACCTCTGTGCCTCCACATTGTGGAAACTCACTTGTAGTGTATAAATGGAACTAGATGGACCCATACTTACCCAAACATGGATTCATAGGTTCTCCACAT